CCTTCTTCATGTCCGGCACCCATCCAGGTCGGCAGCTCACCGGTCTGAGACGGGCGTCGGGCTGAGAATCTGTTCCCAGGACGGTTTCCCGCCCCTCTAATCCATGATCCAGCTCGGCACTTTCTCATCAGACCGGGTTTTTGGCTCGAGTCGGTTGGCAACGTCTCCCCGGCTCATTCCTGGCTAACTCGGATATCAACATTAATATTTGAGGCATATGATTGTACGGTCGTTGGAATTCGACTCGATTGAGTTGGGCATTTTGAGACGCTTTTTATTTGAAACAATATCCATGTTCGTGTCTTGTTTTCTTTTCTTTTTGTTCGGGACGAACAAAGATTTAAGTGTGGGGGAGTTGTTTGTCCCATTTTTGTTGCATTTTTCGTATTATTCTCTTATTCTTTTTCCCCCGTTTTTGATATTTTCGTTTGTTTTTATTTGTTTTTATATTTTATTGTGCGTTTTGTTCTATTTTTGTTTTCTATGTGTTTTCCGTATATTTTTCCGGTTTTTTCTTTGTTTATGGTGTGTAGGTCGAACGCTTCGGGAAGATTTATTTCTCAGGGTTAATGGACCGGGTGAACATCATTAAATACAGTAGCTCGTTGGCAATACACAAGAAAGAAAAAACGGAATTAAATTCCGTTTCCAAACGAGCTCACACGAACCGAAAAGCAAGGTCGGATAACTAGTCACAAGCTCGCCCGGGCCCTGGAACGTGCACAAGTCCTCCACCTTCACGGCTGCGTTTTTCCCCTCCGTAACAGTACCACCACGACCCTCCGACAACCGCTTTTCCCAGACCATCACGCTGCAAGCTTTCCACCTTTATCAGCCGCGGCGAAGATTTTCATCACGGCGCGACAGGACTCCATCACGCGCGGCAAGGACCTCCTCCACGGCGCGAGACCCGCACCACAGCGTGACAGCAGCATCCTTCACGCCGCGAAGCTCCACCACGGCGCGGCGACCATCTCCTTCACGGTGCGAGCTTCCACCACGGCGCGGCGACCCTGCTACTTTAAATTCGAATCTGCCCAGTTTTCTTGGCCGCGGCGGCGGGAGAGGAAGTCGCGGCCGCGGCGAACAACAGCAGCCCCAAGTCTCAGCCTTCTGCAGCAAAAAGTCGCGGCCACGGGAAGAGCCGCGGCCGCGGAACCCTTCTCCACCGCGGCCATCGGGCCCTTCCGCGGCCGCGAAGGTTGCGCTTGACAGATTTTAAATAGCAGATTTCGAAAGCGATCGAGGCATTCTCTCCCTTGGGAGACGAACCCTAGCCCAAGGAAAGACGATAGAAAATTCCATTCTCTTTACGCTTCTCTTCTTCTTCTTCAATTTTATTTCTTCTTTTGATTTTTATTTTTTTGGGATTAAGCTTGTATCTCGTCTTCAACATTCGAACTCGGATTGAAATAATTGTAAGCTTTTCTCCTTTGTTTAATTCATGAACAATGATTAAATTAGGAGAATCGATTTATCGTGTTGAATTCATGATACATAGCTGATCTTTTGTGTTAGGGATAGGAGATTGATTGTTCTTGTTTAAATGCAGTTGTCGGGCTTAAATTGTTCTTGCTTATGTGAGTTATTCTAATTAGGAATTGATGAATTTGAACTTGATTGATTGATATAATCAAAAAGTGACATTTCGATCTTGCAATTGGTAACAATTGAATGTTGATTAGTCGAGTTTAGGGTTTGTTGATTCTATGTGATTAGTCGATTAATACCCTTCTAATTGATTTAGCGGCTTTCAGAACCGAAAGGAAAGAAGTCGTAGAAATAGGCTCGCATGAGATAGATGATTTCGTTATTGAATAATCTATGTGTTTTAGACTGAAATACGAGCTTGTCGATGACTCGTCCCTTGTTACGAATAGTTATTGGGACTGGGATCATTGGCCTGTTTTGTATGCTTGAGCTTGTTCGTCTATGTTCAACCCCTTGTTACAAAGAGTTATTGAGAGCGAACCGCTAGACGTTTAAGCGAGAGTGTCATTCTCGAACCGAACAATTGATTGCCCGACTTTGCTAGAACTTGAATTAATTATCCCCGATTCCCTAGCTTCTCCATTTTCGTTTCATTCATATTCTTAGTTAGATTTACATTTTTGCATTGTTATTTATTTCGTAGCTTATAATTCATCCAATCTTTATCTAATTAGAGTGTTTAGGTTTTATTTTGCTTTTGTGTGTGATCGATACATTTTCTAAATTCCGAACAACCTTCCTTGTGAGATCGACCCAGGGAACGAATCATTCGATTCGGTACTCGGTAAAAATTAACAATTTGTGCTACAACATTCAGTGTTAAGAATTTATTTTTGCGTTCATTCTTTAGTTTAGAACAAAATCACCATTCAAATTCGAGTTAGTCTAAGTAATATTTAATCGTCTATATTTTGATACTTAATTATTTTAACAGTCTCTGTGGAATACGACCTTGTTTGCCGCTTTCTACAGCTACACTATATACTTGCGGGTAGTGAAAATATTTTGCGAACAAATGGTCGATGTAGGTCTTACATAGCTATCAGGAGTCCAATTTTATTGCGGATTGCATGGCTAAAGGTACGGCACGGAGTTCAGGAGGTTTTCAACTGTTGGATACTCCGACGGATGAGGCTCGACACTTATTACATCATGATTTATCAGAGTCGCTTATCGAAGACGTGTGTTGATTTCTAGTCCTTAGGCGTTGGGCTTCTCCGTTTATTTTAAAAAAAACTTCTCCGTTTATTTTAAAAAAATAAAAAATAAAATAACAGGCTTAAAAGTCTTTACAAGTTCCCGGCAGTCCAACCTCAAGTCGACACGTTTCGACGCAAATTGCAAGAACCTACACAATCTCTCGCCACGTGTGCGGTCCAGATCTCTTTCTCTCTCCTCCCCACAAAAAGTCGGTTTACTTCCTATAAAAACCTCCACCATTAATTGCATCGCTTCTTCTCCACCACCTAAATTAAGCCAGGCCGAGATCATCTGAAAACCTCCCGGAAAATTCTGGAAGCCAAAATTCACCTCGAAAAATATACACTTTGAACTGCGATCAAATTTCCCACTTTTATTTTCTTTGTTTCATTTCAGTTTAAAAATTTTAATTCGATCGGATTTTCAAGATTTGATCGATCGTCATACATGGTGTCCGTGTACCCAAACCCACCTCCAGATCGGGATTTCACGCATTTTTACGGGTTTCATATGGGCGGGGATCCGATGAAGTTCCCGGGACTGAACGGAGATGAGAACAGCCTGCTTCAAACGGCGCCGGTTGGGAATATGGGTCCGGGTGTGGACGACACGAATAAGAAAATCCGGAAGCCGTACACGATTACCAAGTCAAGAGAGAGCTGGAGCGAGCAGGAGCACGACAAGTTTGTAGAAGCGCTTCACCTGTAAGTGTTTGGTCTGTATAAAGTATTTGGTTTCTTGGATTGTTGTGTGTATGAGAGTGTGTTTGAATTAACTAACACTGTAAAGTATTTGGTTATAAAAATAATTGTGAGCAACGTGAACTCTATACATGTTTTTGGGATTTGCAACTTAAAGTATTTTTTTTTGGTAAAATGCAACCTGAACTACATACACAATCACTATTTGCACCATCGACCACATTTTGACCGTTCGATCAATAGCAAAAGAGGGTACGTGTATGGTCAAGATGTGGTCGAGAGTGCAAATAGTGATTGTGTATGTAGTTCAGGTTGCATTTTACCAAAAAAAATACTTTAGGTTGCAAATTCCAAAAACACGTATAGTTCAGGTTGCTCACAATTATTTTCCCTATTTGGTTTTATGGAGTGTTGTTTATATAAGTGTGTTTGAATGAGGGATGGATGGTGATAAAGAGGAAGTCATGAAAAAGAGAATGTTTTATTATGTTTCCTGTTTTTTTATTGAATCTATTTCCTGTTAATTGAGTACTCAATATGGAGAAGTTTTAGGTGGAAACTTAAGCTCTTTCAACTTTTTTCATGTTTGGACAACGAGTTATCCATCTCTGTTTACAATGTTGTTTATATGCGAAATATACTGACACATTACTTAACAATTGAGATTTTGAGTTCTCTGCTCACATTGCTATGAATTTTGATTTCTCTCCTTTTCAGATTTGACCGTGATTGGAAGAAGATTGAAGCATTCGTCGGCTCAAAGACTGTTATCCAGGTAACCCCAAGTTGGCCCTCACTTTCGTAATGTTTATACTAGAGATGGTGACTCTGATTTCCTTTACCATTTCTGAACTAGGTAGTTTCATCCCATTTATTGAAGAGGTGAGGAGTAACTTTGACGTCCTTCATTATATTTATGTTCAGGATGTGCGTAAAGGTTTAGTTTTTGGTTTTTTGAACGTGTCACCCTATTATGGATGTTGTTATCCCCGCCTGTACGCAATTCGTGTTAAAACCATTGTCTCTATTTTTCTTCTTCATGAAATTTCTTGCTATCTATAGTATTATGCTTTATTGTCCAGTAAATTGTTTACATTACCCTCCAGTTGGGTAGGTTTAGGTTGCTTATTCATCTGAAAATTTTGTAACCCATCCTCCCTATATATAATTCCCAAATGCGCTGAGCCTACGTGGCTGTTTCTGGTGCTTCGGAATCCTACTTGGCGAAGAATCATGCTTCGTAATTAGGTTTGGACAAATAATATTGATATATTAATAATTAAAATCTAGGTTCGGATATTCCCTAAATATTATTGAGCTAACTTACGTATTTTAATATCACTTGTACTAATATAACCCTTTAATTTCTTGTAATTTTAACTAAGTGACTAATATATCCATGACTTTTGATTTGTTTCCTTCAGTTAGCTATTGAATTGTAAATGTATTTTAAAAGTTGATAACTTTTGTATTTCTTATCAGTTTTATATATATAATATATCAAATTAATCATCTTTTGATGATCTTCAATTTGATATCCATATTGTATATATTGAAATAAATAAATTATATTTATATTTATAATAATAAAAGATAATTATATTTATTAAAATTCATTAGAAAAATAAAAATTATTTCTCAATTGATATATTTATGATTAATGTAGTTATATGTTGTAAGTTAAAAAATTATTATAATATAACACAAGTAAGTCTCGCAAAATAAAAAGTGTCATATTAAATATATAATAATATATATATTTTTATAAAATGTATTTAAATTTTTAACTATTTTTTTTCATTAATTTTAAATTTTAAGAAAGAAATTAGCAAGCACCCGTGTAATACACGGGAGTTGTACTAGTTCTCTAATATTAGGGGATTATGTATCAGTATTGTGTGTCTCTAAAAAAATGTCTAATTGGATGAATAGACGATGGTGCTTTTTGTTTTTGTTTTTGGGTTTTTAAAACAAAAAATGCTTGAGCATCTGCATCCTTTCTCCAGACCTAAAAGGGTGAATGTTCTGCAGATCCGAAGTCATGCTCAGAAATATTTTCTCAAAGTACAAAAAAGTGGAACAAGTGAACATGTACCTCCCCCACGTCCAAAGAGGAAAGCAGCTCATCCTTATCCACAGAAGGCCGCAAAAAATGGTTAGCTATCTTTTCATTTTGTATTGTTACCTTACACATGGTATTACGAGGTTCGAATTATATTCATTCTCCTTGTAACTACACAGCTGTTCCTCAAGCCACTGGTCCTCTGCAATCTTCAGCTGCTTTAGTGGAGTGTGGATACGGTGTAGGGTCTGATTCCTTGTCAATGTCTGGAAACCCAAATCAAATGAGCTCTGCACCTTTATCTTCTTGGAATTACAATGTTATGGCTGCTGGCATTTTGCCCCATACGTCAAAAGGTACTGGTTTGTTTGTTGGAAATGCTGATGTTCTATTTGTGGATATTGGTGGTAAAAACTAAAAAGTTTCTTCTGTTCTTCAGACGATATTGGATTAGCTAGTGCTACCAATAAGTATAGCGGTGGCAGCAATGAGAGCAACCCCGGTGTGGGGAAATTGAACGAGATGCGTGCAGTGAAACCTTGCAATAGTGCCTCAAGAGGTTAGTGTCTTTTTTCTGTATTGTTTCTCTCAGTGAGTCCTGCCTATGTGATGTGTGGTCCACAGAATAAGTTAGGACTTGTCGGGAGTGTACAAAGGTGAAGTCAGCAGCTCTAGTTTGCTCTAGTTTTCTGCCTTTGAATCTAGTTTTGTTTTGTCTAAAAATTTATTGGAGAGGTGAATGTGATATACTATTCGCTTGTTGATTAAAATATCAGATCAAAACAACAGTACTTGAAATATTTCTAATTTTGCCACTATTGACTTTGCTCGGGTTTCGTGGATGCAGTTATGCCAGATTTTGCTCAGGTCTATAGATTCATTGGTAGTGTCTTTGACCCTTCTGCAAGTGATCATCTGCAAAGACTTAAAACAATGGACCCTATAAATGTGGAGACGGTGAGTCAGATTTCTGTGGTTGCACTAGAGTTTTATGCTTGCAGGATCAATTCCATATAACCTGTTCTGTATGCCGCATTGTCGGTTGAGTTATAGCATTTAAAGTTTTCTTTAGAAACATATATTCATCTGATCCAAGTCCAGCATTAGGCAAATGGGACTTTTTTGTCCATCCTCCTCTCGTAGCCCTATGTGTGCACTTGCTCCGTACATATTATGAGGTGCTTTAGCCTTGTTTTAAATATCTTGCTAGATTATGGTAATGTGCTTATGTTTACTTCTGTTTTACTTGCATATGCGCTTTGTGTTATCGAGCTGTGGCATAACCAAGAGGTTGCAACCTTTACTGCAGGTGGTGATGTTAATGAAGAATCTATCTGTCAATTTGATTAGCCCTGAATTTGAGCACCATGTGAGTTGAACTTTCTTTATTAGTTTTGTTGCATATTTCGGTATTCTTGGAACAACTTCTGAAAAATTGACATAATTCCATGATGAGATTTCATACCATATTTTGATGTTAACAAATGTATGGCATTTCACATATAAAGTAAATGTTTTCGTTCAAGGAGTATGGGTTGTCGTATATCCGATAATTTGTTATGTATTCAATTTCTCTTTGAGTCATAATTTACATATCAACTCATGTTTGGAAGGTTATATAATATGGATAATGCGTACACTAAATGCAGTAGTTGGATCGTATAAGAGTGTTGATAGGAATTTGATTGTTTAAATTTTTTGTTTCTGAAAACATCCTTTACAGTGTCATGATTTATCAGAACATAAGATGCATTTTAATGTTGTTAGTGGTTCTCTTTAATTTTCCATTTTAGTGCTGATGGTGGTTTTCTGAAATGTGCTACCGATTAATGCCGACAGAGGAAGTTGTTATTAAGTAACGGTGGGCTTCAAAGCAATGTGGTGAGAAATAAGATACCGTCTGTATGATGCTTTACTACTGGCCAAATCCAGAACTCGGTATATTCTCAATGGGATGTTTGCTCGGTTCAGGACCACCAAATTTCATTGAGATCCTTCTTACTGCCATTCTGTTTCACAGGCAGAACCCGAGGGAAGAGTTTGTCCCATGAGTCTGTTAGCTTTTCTAGATTTTTTTTTCTTCTGTATATGAGTGAGGATGAGCTTTAGGGGAGCTTGTTAGAAAGACAACTGTGTAGATCTGTTCCTTGTATATAGCCTGTTTGAGCAATAGCACGCAGTACTCGAGTCCTCGATTGTCGAAATAAAATGTGGAGGTGATGAGTGTACTTATACTCGGTAGTTCTTTTCTCTGTGTTCCGACTGCACAGTTATTTGTGGTTCTGTAACTATCTTTGGGTTGTATATTATGTTCTGCTTGCCTGGAGATCTACACAAAATATAATTATTTGTTCTTGTGCAAAAGATACTAAAGGGCTATATCATACCAACGAATCCATAATTGGGATTCGACTAACAAGGGATGCATTGTGTAATAACAAAGCTCGATTCGCATATTGGGTTTAATCGAGCAGTTTTTCCTCTTCTCTCCTTCGTCTTTACAGTTCGTCAACTTGCACAGCGAACAAAATGACATCGCTACATCTAGTTGGCTACTACCACCGGTAGAACATATTTTGAAAAAGAAAAGCAGAAAACGATAAAATTCAAGATTTCTCAAACTAGTTGTGTTCCGTTGAACATCTTGAAAATCCATTATGATGATCCCGCGTGCGTACTTCCATTCATCTGGTTCATTTAGTTAGCCCATGCTCGCGTGCATAATTCTAAGTTTTTGTGTTAATTGAAAAGGTAAAAGGCACAAATAATATAAAAAAAATAATATTTTATATAAATTCTAAGTTTTCAAAATAATTCAAAATGAAATCTTAGAAATACCGAACAATATCTTTAATATTTGATAAACAGTCGGTATTATTTTTTATTTTGATAACTTAGAATGTGTTATTATCAGTACAAAAATATTCATCTACCACCACAACATATTAAGTCATAATTATATAATATCCCAAGATTACATGATTTTTCAATCTCGTCATACAATGTATGTTAATTTTCTGCTTATCAATGCGCATATTAAATTATATTCGTCAGGGGCAGGAAAGCACTGATATTTATTAATGTTGGATAAGAAAATAATATAATTCAATCCTTTAGTTGTTTTAATAGTTGATACTAATTTGCACTGACAATAATTTTCTAATATAATATTGTATTATGTAAAGCAATGATAGATTTATTTATAGAAACAACAGGTAAATAAGTCATTATAATAAGAAAAAATTGAAAAAAAAACGCTGCTTACTAAACAACTTCATATATAAATTGTTATTATAAAATTATTCTATGTATATTTATTTTGTTAAAAATATACATTGCTACAATTATGTAATAAAAAATACAAATTTTCATGTGGGGCCTAAGGTGATTATGGATTCGCCTGGGTCACACAATATGCACCCAATTTTTCGACTAAGACTAAATGGAGAGGGTTAAATATTCAATTAGATTTGAATATTTATTTTATGAATTATGAGCTTATGTTTATTTGATAGAAAACATTTAACTAAGTTAAATTGAATTTATACTTAATTAAATTATTATTGTATGAAGTCCAATTACTTATTGGACTGTAGGATCTCCTTTGTCTATATAATTGAGTTTGACCTAATTATAAATACATTATTATCTTTTCACAGTCTTTAATCTAAGAAGTGAGATACACAGTTCATAACAACACAAGATTTAAGCAAAACACTCTATACCTTTCTGTATTGAGAATTTCTATCCTTTTAATTGGAATATATTCATTGGCATTTGATTGTGCACCAAATAACATGACTCCGTGGATACCACAGTCAATGACAAAACTTAACTATAAGTTTTCGTTACGCGTGCATTGAGTTCGCAGGTCGAAAATCCAACTACTTATTGTTCTTGATAGTGTGGTGATGAATTGAACGGTGGTGAGGGTGTATATTGAGGGACTGTATGGTGGGGCACACCCAATGGATGCCCGTGAGTGAGTGGGAAGTGGGTCGTCGGTAGTAGGACGAGAGCGGTCACGGGGTGGAATATGGGCAGCACCACTCCCAATGAACCTCAAATGGGGCCCAGGCCCACACACCCACCAAGTCCAACTACTTTCCAACTGAAACACAGCCAAAAAATAAATAAATAAATAAATAAATCTCTATGCTCACACTATCACAAGTGAAACGTTATATTCCTTTTTTTTTTTTTTTTTTTATATCTTTTCATTATTCTAGTTTTCTTAATTTAACTCTTATCAACCAAATTCATTAAATTCTCTTTAACCTTTTCCAATAATACAAATAAGAAATAACAAATAATAGTAACAGTAATAATAACATGTGATGCTTGTAGCTTTTCATGACAAAATAAATGGGAAAAAAAGGTCGCATATTTGGTGAAACTAACTCATAAGCTAGTTTATAAATTATATGTAATTTCGAGCTTATAATATATAACTTATGACTTATAGATGAAAAACTAGTTTGTATAATTAAAGTGTTTTGTAAAATTAGCTAATAAGCTAACCGAAAAAAAAAAATCAACTAGCTTATTTAAAAAGCTAACTAAAGAAGCTTATGAAATAAGCTTGAGTTTTTTTAAAAAAGCTCGTCCTACCAAAATGAGGCTTATTTGTATACAAAAAGCTTATAATCTAAATATATAAGCTGTAAGCTAACTTATTTGGCTACCAATTATACCCTAAATTAGTAAATTGTACTACACTTTAAATCTTATAGCTGAAATAGTAATACGTAGTGACCTCCCATATAAAAATAGGGAAATGCTACAGTCCCATTACGGAACCATTATGTCGTAATTTGTAACCGTTAGATCATCATGTAACCGTCGTGATAGTTGATCTAACGGTTACAAATCCCGACAAAATGGTTCCATAACGGACCTTAAAATCTCCCTTAAAAATGTTTACCCGTGCCTTTGTTAACCGCATAAACATGCTCATAATTCCCCTCATGAAAATGAACTCTTTGTGGAGAAGCTCCTCTTCAAGACTTGGAGTAAGTTACAACTTACAACTAAACACCATTTTCCTCATCACCTTTCAGTCATCTCATATGTGTGCATATGCAAATAGTACCAAAACACACAAACAAACACACCCCTATACATTGCCCCCTTATTAACTAGCCATTTATTTTTCTGTGAATTTGATTCTGTTGTATGATGCTAAGGTGTAAAAAAGTTGAACTCCTTTTTGCAAATTGATTTGTCTTTTTTCTTTCAAAATTCTTCACAGATGATGAGGCCAAATACACACCCACTCGTGTTGATCTTCGGAGTGCTAACCGTCGTCCTAAACGGGGCCGAGTGCCGAAAGGCGAGGATTTTGGAGTCGTTCGAGTACTCGGCCATCAGCTGCAGAGCTCACAGCGCATCCATACTGGATTTCGGCGGGGTCGGAGATGGCGAGACGCTCAACACCCGGGCTTTTCAGACAGCCGTCGGCCACCTCAGCCAGTATGCGTCAGACGGTGGGGCCCAGCTGTTTGTCCCCGCCGGTAAATGGCTGACCGGAAGCTTCAATCTCACTAGTCATTTTACTCTCTATCTTCACAAGGATGCTGTGCTCCTCGCTTCTCAGGTAAAATCTCCAAACACACAACACAAGACTGTGTTACAGAATGACCCGGCTAAAGGGGAGATGCTAAAGTCTTGTTAGGGAGCCATTCTATTTGGGGTTTTTAACCGTTAGATTATTATGTAACCGGCGGGAATACGGGAATAGTTGATCTAACAGGTTACAAACTTCGACAAAATGATTTCGTAACGGGACCATAGCATTTCCCTAAATTAAAGTAGCTTGTTATTTCAGGATATAAGCTCATGGCCGCTAGTCGAGCCCTTACCGTCGTACGGCCGTGGACGGGATGCAGTTGGCGGGAGGTACAGCAGTCTTATATTCGGATCAAATCTCACCGATGTCGTCGTCACTGGTAAAACATATGCAGTTTAATTTGGTCTTAATATGTTGTTGATACACAAATCTTATGGAGTTGTAACATAAACCAGGTGAGAATGGCACTATTGATGGTCAGGGAGCAATTTGGTGGCAGCAATTTCACAGGAAGAAGCTGAAAAACACAAGGCCTTACCTTATTGAAATTATGCACTCAGACAATATCCAGATTTCTAATCTCACTCTTGTCAATTCTCCCTCATGGAATATTCATCCTGTTTACAGCAGGTTGAATTTCATATCTATATCCATATAAATTAGGGAGATTCTACAGTCTCGTTACGGAACCATCCGTCGGGGTTTATAACTATTAGATCAACTATCCACGACGGTTACAAATCCCGGTAGAATGGTTCCGTAACGGGACTGTAGCATTTCCCTATAAAATATATCGACCTCTGCAATATATTGATAGGAACCATTAGTTTTATATGAAACCAATTGTTGCTTACTTGCTTTTGTTTATAAGTTATCTATTGAACAATATTGCAGTGACATAATTATACAAGGCATTACGATTCTAGCTCCAATTACATCCCCAAATACAGATGGGATCAATCCAGGTATGTAGTCCACATGAATTGTCTGTTATCTGAATTCATCTGAAGGAATATTTCAAAATAAATAACCAAAAATGAAATGAACAAAACAAAACAACTTGATGAACAGATTCCTGCTCCAACACAAGAATCGAGGACGTGTACATTATCTCGGGTGACGACTGCATAGCCGTGAAGAGCGGTTGGGATGAGTACGGCATAGCCTACAATATGCCGACAAAGCAACTCCTCATAAGGCGCCTCACTTGCATCTCCCCATACAGTGCTGCCATTGCCTTGGGCAGCGAGATGTCGGGCGGCATCCAAGACGTGCGGGCCCAGGACATAACCGCCATTCAGACAGAGTCGGGTGTCCGAATCAAGACAGCCCCCGGGAGGGGCGGTTACGTGAAGGACGTGTACGTGAAGGGCATGAATCTTCATACCATGAAATGGGTCTTTTGGATGACTGGAAACTACGGGTCGCACCCTGACGATAAATACGACCCGAATGCTATGCCGGAGATTAACGGGATTAACTACAGGGATGTAGTGGCGGAGAATGTGACGATGGCGGCTCGATTGGAAGGGATATCGGGAGACCCATTCACCGGGATTTGCATGTCGAACGTGACGATTGGGTTGGCTAAGAAGGCTAAGAAGTATCCGTGGACTTGTGCTGAGGTGGCGGGGACAACCAGCCGGGTGGTGCCGCCACCATGCGAGCTGTTGCCTGATGAGGGAGAGGAGAAAGTGGGGATGTGTGATTTTCCTGCAGATAGTTTAGGTATTGAGGGGGTGGAGTTGCAAAAGTGTTCTTATGGGATGAACTACTTTTAGTAAGTAGGTGGTGAAGTCTTTTTAGCAGTTTGTGTGTATGATAATGTGCTGCTACTGTTCTGTCTAAAATTCAAATGAAGATATGGGATTTCAAGGATTTTGGCTCTGGGCTCAGATTTGCTGTTCTCTTTGGTTCTTTTGTTGAGGGGATTGGTTCCTCGGAAATTTTTAGATTTTCACACAATCTAATTACAATGTTTACAAACAAATCCAAATATATTCTCAACGCGTCTAGTGAATGAAATAAAATATATCTCGAGTTCGAACGAGAAGCACTATATCAAATTAAACTATCTAAAGAGAAAATAACACAGTAATCTTAAATATGATATGAGAATAGCAATAAAGAACACAAGCCCGGATGATTCTTGTCGTCAAAAACCCCTCTTGCTTGTCCATGTTCTTTTCCCCAAAATAAATGCACCATTCACGTAGCTGCTTTGTTCTCCATGAAGAACAACAAAATAATGTTGTCTCTCCTCTTTTTTTAACTAGTACGTAATCCGTGCGATGCAATGAGCAATAATTATAAATTACATGTACTAAAACTATAAAGAAATATTGAGTAGCATAGAAATAATTTTGAATATTGGTAATTATTATTTTCTTTTATTTTATGACATATAATAATTTAATATTGGTATCAAAGGATTCTAAACTATTTTACTCGATTAAATGATTTTTTAAAAAATATTTTGGTATATGGTTGGTTAACAAATGAATAAGAAAACATTTGTTATTAATATTGATAAATAAAATTTTGTTCATATCCGAGTTGAGTAATGAGGGACCCACGGTTTAAGAACGGCAACCCGACACTTAGGACTGGTACAATATCCGAGTCGTGAAATGCCAGGCTCAACAAAAAGCAAAATTGATGGGAATAGTGCGTAGAATAGCTCATGAGGGCGGCACTTTGGATGCTTGGACGACGAGGTTGGTCCCGACAAACGCCGATCTAGAAAATAGAGGCTTTGAGGACCAGAAGATTAAGTAACGACAAGAGTCCGACCTGAAGATCTGGCGAGATCGGCCCCCTCACGTATCCACAGTCTGAAAATTATATAATACATCCACTTGTCAAGTCATGAATACCGATGGGACACGCCACCCTAGTCTGACATCTTATCATACCTAGATAGGTAGGGCGGCATGTCAACATTGAATGCTCCCTATGTGCTCATTTAATGTCTGATAGGTAATCATTGAAAAAACCTCATACCTCATCCTTAGACTATTCTTATCTCCAACTCAATTCAACCCAACCTAACAATAAAAAATTATTTCTCTCCACCACTTACACAACTTTACCTTACAACTAAATTTATTTTTATCACCAACTCAACTCAACCCAAATATTTATTTTATTTTAGTTTATCTGAAAAATACTATTGTGTTAAAAAAAAAAATCAAGTGTGGTTTCTATTTGTAGATAATAAAAAAATATAAATTGTAGTATTTATTTTTTATTTTTATTTTAAACATAAAAATTATTTTTAGCCAATCTAAAGGGGACATGTGTCCCATTTAACACCAACCAAGGTTGCAACCTTGGGTCACAATGTGACCTCAGTTGGACAACCATGACCCCTTTTTTTTTATTTTTTTAATGTTTTAAATTGGTGACCCACTCTTGAGGGTCACCAATAAAAGTGGTCTTAGAGGCTGATCTCGTAATTAAGTTATAAAAGCCAGTTTCTTTTATAATTTCCTTACTATTCTCATACTCATAATTTTAACTTTCATTTAACCGTTGATCGACTGTGATCGTCAACAGATTTTATTGTGACATTGTGATAAATATTATAATAAAATTTCTATAATTGATTTTTAATTTTTATTTTTGTATTTATATTTTTAATTTTATCTTTCATATTCAAATAATATTTTCTAAAAACAAAATATATTTAGACATTTATTGAAGACATGTTGTATGGTTGACTACCAAAAGAATAAGAAATTACAGTTATTCGTAAATAATACAAATAATCAAAATTTTATTGCGATTATTATTACAAAATAATTTCAAAATTAATACCACCTTAGTTATATAGAAAGTCGTGTTGTTAACCAAGTTGCACGATTTACAATGGGTATGTATAATATAATTTTCATTTTTTAATAAATATTATGTATTTTTTACTATATTTCTTGTAATAGTAAGTCGACCTATTAAATTACAAAGTTAAAGTTACTATTTTAAATTATTCTATCAATCTCGTTCAATATATATAGATATAGATTCCACGCTAATGCTCAAAGAAAAAATATAATTGTCATGCTCTTCTCTCTTTTAATCTTTTTATTTGATTTGTTTTTGGTCTACATTCCTAGTAGGAATCCTATTAGAAGAAGGAACTAAATATCAAGAGAAGGAAACCAAAAAATAAAATAAAATCATATAACAAATAATATTCTACCATATATGAAAAAAAACTAATATAATAATAACAATAATAATAATAATAATAATAATAATAATAATAATAATAATAATAATAATAATAATAATAATAATAATAATAATAACAATAACAATAATAATAATAATAACAATAAAGAAAAGAAAATTTAAAAAAATAAAAAGCAAAATATATACCTAGCAGCACCCACTCCCAGGCAGTAGCCTCATCCACAGGCAACTGGGCTGTCCCCTCAAATGCTGCCAAAATGGCAGAAACTGTAAATGCACCATGTTGCCAGAACGACTCCATCAGCTCAGTTTTTTTTCGTGAGCTGCAGTATCTTCATGCAGTACACCACACCTGGTAGGAGCTAGTGTCGGGGTCCTCTGTAACTATCTTTTCCCTCCACGTGATACCCTAAAATATCTCGAACATCATGCAACATGATACCCATTTCATCAAAAGGCATGTGAAACGAGTTAGTAATAGGCTGCCAACGCTCGACAAATGCAGAAATAAGTGGGTGTCCACATGAGCATGCATGAAGTTGACCAAATGTGACAGCCCGGTCCGAACTATCAGATCGCGCTAGGGGTGAGCAAAATCGAGCCGAAACCAAAAATTGAACCGAAATCGAGTAATTCGGTGCGGTTCGGTTCAGTTTTTTTATGTAAAAATTTCGGTTCGATTTCGGTGCGTTATTTTTATATTGCGGTGCAGTACACTTATTGTTTTCCATAAGTTCGGTTTTTGATTTTATTTGATTCAGTGCGGTTTTGAACCGAACCGCATTAAATTAAATAAATTGTATTGAAAAACTGAGAAAAAATTGAAAACCAAACCGAACCATGCATTTCGGTGCGGTTCGATTTGGTTATTTTAGTGCAAATAAATCAGTTTGATTTCGGTTCGGTTTTGTTTGAGTTGCGGTGTAGTTCGTTTATTTGTTTGATATGATCGGATTTTGGTTTTTGCGGTTCGGTGCTGTTTTTCACCGAACCGCACCGTTACTCACCCCTAGATCGCTTGCAGAGGGAGGCGGAATCAACTCCTCAAATTCTTGTGCATTCCCTGTCTACTCTGGCATTTCATGCCTCTAAACTCTCCAGTACATATAGGGAAGGCTACGTTTCCTAGAAAGCTAGGGATAACACACCCATCATGGGGGCCATCAGGCACTAGGCCTGTAACGACAGAGGCTTCTGCAGGTACACTCGTTGATCGTTTGTTAGTACATGATATTATAATATATACTTATATATATATATGTGTGTGTGTGTGTATGACTTATTGTGACTGACTTTATCAATGATATGTTATTATTGAATGAAAATATATAATGGTAAACAACAAACGTAAATAATTTGCCTGAAGATCTAGTGCTCGCAAAATAGCCCCCAACACATGGAGGAGCATATCGTGCATGGGCCTATCCTGGTCTTGGTCATTTGCAGACTCAAAAGTCCTCAAAATCTTCTGAGAACTACAGCCTCTCGGCTATTGAATCATAATAATCATCCCACTGTTGGAAGTGGGAACGATGACAAGTTTGTACAAGAGTGAAGCGTCTCGAACCGCCAACCTGGTCAACGTAACCAGGTCTGTCTCAGGCAAATCTGACGATGCATCTCATCGTCTCTCGCCGGATGAGTGGAAGCATCTACATACCGACTCCTCGTGTGTCGGTGTCCAGAATAAAAAAAATAAATAAATAAAAAAAATAAAAAAACTTGGCAGTCTCTCTATCGGTTGTCGGTTGCGCAGGTCTACCACCAGTCTAATCAATAATTTAAACTAATAATTAGTAAACAACCTTTTGAAATTCATATATTTTATTAATTATTATAAAAGAATTACTATTAACTATTTATTACTAATATATTACGCAAACTTATCATACTTACTATTATTAATTATAGCTAT